CTTGTAAATTTTTCTACACTATCCATCCACCTTCTTGTAAAAAAAATTGTAAAAGTTAGAGGTCATCAATGATTTTTTCACTCGAAATAAACATGATACGAACATGAAACAAAATGAAATCCAAATAACTAAAAATTAAAACAAAGATCTGTCAAAGAGATTCGCTTTTGTCAGTTTCTTAAGTTGGTTTAATTTTGGTAGTATGCGCTTTTTATGAATTTTGTGTATTACTTTATCAACCTGTATAATATAAATATTTGATCAATAGTTGAATGGTTTTTTCGCACCCACCTTGATGGTCTCGTACCTCGTTTTCCATAAACACCATAATTTTTCCCACTAGTTTACTCAGTATTTTATACCCAATGTTCAATTATGCTATATCCCGTTTTATCTCCTTTTCTATGAAGAACTATGAGAAAATCTCTTCCTTCTATGCATATATTTGTTATCTCTGTTATTCTCCATGTTTCTTCTTTTTCTCAAATTCCTGATCATAAGTAGTAGGATTTATTTCTATTTCGCCTCACTTTTTCTCGTCTATTGGTACCTCTTCGAAATCTGTTCTCCTCACTGGATGGAGCTGCTTCGGATCCTGTGGAGGCGCCGAATGCCCTAATAATAATCCTAATATCCTTTTCCATATTTGTAATAATTTCGCTCCGTCTACAATTAAATCCCCATTTCTGTTTCTAGCTATCATACCTTAGTTCTTGGTTAAAGTCCTCTATCTTCTATTCTTCGATTTTTATTTTGTAGCCTTTGTTTTTTTTTCTTCGCATTTTTACGTTTTCTCGACCTTTGATGACCCCTAAAGTACGAAGAGATGGTCTCCTGTTTCCGTCTGTCTGTCTGTCTGTCTGCCGTCCCCGGATTTTTATTAGACAGATAATCTCAGAAAGTACTGGACCCATTGTTGTGAAATTTTGTACTTATATTAGGAATATCATGTAGATGGTAAAACACTGACCAAAATTTGTCTAATCATCCCCACCAATAATGTGATGACGTTACTTCAAAATTGCACATAATCAATAACATCCACATATATTTGATGACTCCGTGGTGAGTTTTTACCCGAAATGTCCAGATTTTTGGAAAAAAAAAATCAAAAATATAAAAAAACAATTTATAATTTAATTTTGAATCTGCAAACTCGAATGCTTTGAAATTTTGCAGATGTTTTAAAGTTATGATAACATAATAAATTTTTATTCAAAATATATTTACTTATCCCCTCTAAAAAATTGATGACGTCATCTAAAATGTCTAAAATATGATGAGTCTATACTTGTCGTTTATCATTCCATTAATATTTTTTGAATTTGCTTATACAGGTTGATTGAAAAAAAAGCATGAATCAGTCAATTTATTTTATTGAATAAATCAAGAATTGCAAAACTGAATACTTTGAAATCTTGCAGACGTTTTAAAGTTATTGTACGCATGGTGAATTGTCTGTTATTCCCAAAAAATTGATGACGTCATCTCAAAATTTTGTTCAATAAATTCTACCCAAATTGTGCAAAACACGATGAGTTTTTACTTGTCATTTATCATTGTATTCATATTTTTTAGATTTGCTTAAACGGGAGGCTTAAAAAATTAGTGAATGAGTCAATGTTTTTATTGATTGAATCAGGAACGGCTCACTCCATTTTCCCAGAAAATTTTGGGAACATGATACTGATATTTTTCAATTTCCATTTTTCACTAAATAAAATAAGTCCTTGAAATGAAAAAAGAAGATGGCCGGGGCTATATTTAGTTTTTTCTAGTTTTATGAGCAAGCAGTAGCCCCGCCCACCCACCCCTTCTTCGTTCCAGTGACTACTCTTAATATTGTTGAGTCCCATCTTAGCAAGTTTTAGCCCCGCCCACCCACCCTTCTTTTCTTAGAGGATATATCATTTATCAAAATCAATCGTATCTTAACAAGTACTAGCCTTGTCCACCCGCCATCTATTTTCTCAGAGGGTATATCATTTACCAAAATCAATCTTATCTTAGCAGATACTAGCTCCGCCCACACACGCTGTTCTCTGTAGACAAAATGAATCACTGAAATGGAGGCGTGGTGGGTGGGCGTGGTCCATTATCTGTTCTTTTAACGTAGGCTGTTAAAGGAAAGCGTTAATCTTAACTCTTTTGTTATACAACTTATTTGCTATATTTGTTTCTTATTTCTGAAGAAAAAAATGAGAGAACGGGTGGGTGGGCGGGGTTAAGTTTAACTTTTTCCTACAGAATATTTCATAAGCAAGCAATTGCCCCGCCCACCCACCCTCTCTTCATTCCAGTGATTATTCTTAACATTGTTCAGTCATTTACCAAAATCAGTCTTATCTTAACAAGTACTAGCCTCGCCCCCCCCCCTCTATTTTCTTAGAAGGTATGTCGTTTACCACAATCAGTCTTATCTTAGCAAATACTAGCCCCGCCCACGCACGCTGTTCTCATTCTAACGATTTTATCTCTCTTCAACTGAGAATCAGAACATGAAGGAAACAGTTGACTGAATATTCGTTGTCCTTGTCTGTTGCGATTGTTTTAGATATGGAATATTCTTGACGTTCTTGGGTCTTGAAGTACTCTCTATTAATTCATGTCTTCTATATCTTCCCTTTTTCCTTTGTCTGTGACTTTTATGGCTTCAACTACAATATTCATTCTTTTTACCTCTTTTTCTAGTTGTTCTAGTCTTTCCTATTTCTCATTTATTATTTGTTTTAGTTATTTGTTCTCTTGTCCTACAGATTTCCTTGGCGTTTTTTTTCTAATTTTATCTAGTTTTACTAAATTTGTTGTAATTTGCTCGAACTATGTCTACCACATTTTCTTTATCGTCATTATTGACTGCCCTAAATGAATCTCATGAAAGTAAGTTCAAACTCTCATTCCAAGCAAGTCAAAATTGAGATATTAAAAATATGTTTGTGACTTTCTTCGGAAAACCACGGCACGTCATTCGTTTATGCCTTATGTCCTTAATATACTTTTTGATTCAGTTTGTGTTTTGCTTGATTGCAATAACAGGTTATGGACCCAGAGTGTATCACGAGGTTATGGGTCCAAATTATGGGCCCCACGCGCGAATAAACGGAATCGCGTGTATTTAATGTGTCCGAGTGCGCCGACATGTGTGAAAAATATCGTCATCATGAATACCCAAAATCAGTTGCCATTCGAGTTGTTTCAGAAGAACTACCATACATGGAAACAAGAAATGCAGCTGGTGCTGATCAGTAGCGACTTGTGCAGACTTTTTGGACGCCGTGGCCAAGCTAAGTGATCTGGACGTGGAGATCAACCCCGATCTTCAGGTGATACTGTTGATATATCGTTTACCGCGAGTTTTAAAGTGTTCAAATCATGAGACGAATTACTAATGTCAGAAGTGCTCCAAATTAAAATAATTGGCGGCTGGCAGGACATGAATGCAGTGATTATACGTGTCCGATCAACGCGACCGATCCAAAACTCTTTAAAGTGGTATCCCAGTACCTTCGGAACATCCACTGGTGGGCAAAGTAAGTACCATCATTTTTAAGTACCCCAGTTGTACGTAAAAATGATAGAACAAGAAGGAAAGAGCGATCCAAGTCGTGTTGGACCTTAGACTCGAGGCGAAGTGTTGAAACGCCATCTAAATTTGAGAATGCGATCTCGAACTTTAATTGAAGTTTCCAGAATACCGGCCCCGGCGTATTTAAGTGACGCCACATTCGTGAATCGTAATCGAGGTCAAGGTCCAGGTTCCAAACGATGAGGAAAACTAGGGGTTAGACCAAGAAGAAGGCTCGACTGGAACCAATCTGGGAACGATGACAAGCCTGAGATCATCTTCGAAATCGACTGCGATTAGAGTCACATCAGTGCCCCAGGATGAAGAAGTCGGTCGAAGAAATAACTTCGAACGAAACCCAATGCAAACGAAGTCATTCGTTAATGGACAGGTGCGACCTTTGACTCGAGGGGAAGTGCTGGAACGCCATCTAATCGAAGTTTCAAGAATATTGCACGGACAGCCATGACGCATCTAGTAGGCGCCATGTATGTCAAGTACACACAGTGGTACTAACCTCAACACGAATAATATCGTACCATGTTGCTCCGTCGTTTGTTTTCTAATATGTTATTGTCTATATATGTTTTGATTCGGTTTTTTTTTTCAATCAACAAATTATATTTATGGATTCTATTTATTATTCTATGCTTCTATGTGCCATTAGAATCAATAAAAACATAGATATAAAATCATTCATTGTGAAAAATACGTGTATTTTGGACCCCAACTTATGTAGTAAACATAAACATTTTTTGTTTTTTACAACCGTAGTAAATGTAGTACCTACTCAGAAGATGGGAATTAATACGATTTCTTCGGTTCCCAAACTAAATACAACGTTCTTGGGACTTTCGGAAGTTTAAGTATACATCGGTCACTTCCCCAAACGCAGTTCAGCGATCTACTAGTGCAGAAATTTAAAAAATCACTCGATATCTCCTTTATGGTAAAAATATTCTAATACCATGTCATCTTACATTACAATATGGTTATGGTTGCATTGTGCCAAATTTTGCGCACGTTAAGGACCATTTTACAGCCTGAAACTGAAAAAAGGAAAAAATAACGTCCACTCTTTGTTAATTTATTTTACATTACTTGTTACAAAAGCAGGAACCAATAACAATAAAACAACTACGTCCGTACGAACTACGGAAATACTAATTATGTGGTTTCTCTCGTCCCGAAAAATCCGTTCATTAAATTTTCACCTCCACGTATCGCACAAAAAAGCAACTTTTAAATTGTTGATCATACACGAACTCAATTACGCCGTCCAAACCAACCGGAAATCCCATCCCTTATCGGCCCACCAAACTGAAAAACTCGATTTCTTGCAACCTGCGCCCATTAAATTTCGCCCATTACCACAAAGCCGCTACAACAAACCAGTAATCACGCCAGTAATCTACCGGAAATGTCAAGGCCGCGTTTCATTTTTTAACATCGCTCCAACCCATTTATGAAATTATTCCCAACAATGCCTCCATCCACACCTCTTTCGATCCTAATCACGATCATCAACGCCGCCATCTGCCTCGACTTCATCTCGAACAAAACTCAAGTAAGTGCGAAAATCATCTCTTTCGACGCTCCATCGCCTTCTTATTGCAGAATCCCTCCCTGCAAATCCAATTACCAGATGGCTTAATCCAGGGCAGGCTCAAACACACCGCCGACACAGACATGCCTTATTATTCTTACGAGGGCATCCCTTATGCAAAACCACCTGTTGGCGAGCTACGCTTTGAAGTAATTTCGCTCATAAAAGGAAAAGTCTCTCGATTACTTGCATAATTTCAGCCGCCCCAGCCGGTGGAGGGGTGGGACGGGGTGTTGGAGGCTAATGGAGACGTTCCCGCTTGCTTCCAGATACCGCCGATCGGGTATGAGGACGAAGACTGTCTTTACATCAACGTGTATGTGCCGAAGGTGAGTCGGAGGGCTGTGGTTTGCGGAATTTTAATTCTGGATTTTGCGGGGGTGGCAGAAGGTACCAGAAGACGAGGGGGCCAAGGCCGTCATGGTGTGGATTTACGGGGGCGGGTTCATGTTTGGAAAGGGCAGTTCCGTCTTTTATGGGCCCGATTATTTGTTGGAGAGGGACGTGATCGTGGTCCATTTCAATTACAGGATGAATGTCTTTGGTAGGGATTTCCGAGGCGACTGGTGAAAGTAATATGCAATGTCTAAGGAAATTGCGTCACGATTGTAGTTGATTAAATTTTTTTACGTAGAATATCATAAAAGAACACACCTACGAAACGATACGAGGTATGAAAAAAGGTATTTCATTTCGGAAAAATTAACTTGGGGGCATTTCCGGCTAAATGTGTACAAATTAAATGTCCAGAATTTTTTTTCCTTCTAACCATGTGTCTTCGCAAATTAAAAAAAAAAGTCTAAAGTTATTCAGACAGAATTTATTTTTTTACTATAATCTCTATAAATGAAAATAAAAATGTGTGTTATTAAATTAACATGGGAAAAACAGATACATTTTGATTAACGATCTACCATGCTTACGATAATCTTAAAATGTCTGCAAGATGTCACAGCATTTAATTTCACAGTTTCCAAGTTACAAGATACAGGGGTATGTTATTTTACAAAATTTAAATAGCATTTACTAATCAAAATTTTGAGGTGACGTCATCCAAGTGTTGGTAGGGATGATGGAACAAATTTTGGTTAATGTTTTACCATCTAAACGACATTTCCAAAATGCGTTTAAAATTTTATAACAATCAGTCCAGTACGTTTGAATATTATGGACGAAGACAGGTGGAAACGGGAGGCCTATTTTTTCGTACTCTAAAGGTCATGAAACGTCGAGAATATTTTCTTAATTTACGCTTGAGAAGTAAAAATATATAATGTGTTTCACTGAAAAAAACTAATTCGGCTAAATTGGAAGCGTAAAAAATTGAAAATGTTTTCAGTGAACTTTTTGAATACAGGGTGCTGAGAAAGAGTCGCACTAACGTATCAGGTCATAAAACTAGAAGTCAAGACAAGTTAGTCCATTCAAATTTTTAATTTTCGTCACTATTTTAGAAGAAAATAAGAGAGATTTGGCAATGACCGACCACAAAAAATCCAATTTTTATAACCACAGCAACAAGACAATAAAAACGTAACAATGACATTCATTATTATTTTTTTTATTGTATTTTAGAACACAAATCCGTTGTACTTTGTTCAATAAACTCTAAAAACGCAAACTGAACCTTTTACATTGTTTCACCAAAATAATAATTAAAATTCGGAGAAGTTAAAAATGCAAAAATAACAATGAATTAATACGAAACAAAAGCAGTTTTTTACCATTTGCCGGTACTGTTGCACAAACAAAATTTTTACAGTGGTCCAAAGAAAAAGTCGAGTGGATTTAGATCCGGTGAACGAAGGGGATATAGTGTACGTCCACTATATATGCAGACAAAATGTCGAAAAAAATTAAGTTAATTGATCGTGCATACTGTATAATTTATTACAAGGGGTTACTTAAAATGTCCAACTAAAATTATAGTGTAAGAGTGAATTGCTTTGGTTCTTTGAATAGTTTGCCAGTAATCCTAAAGTAAAGTCTAATAAATTTAATGGAACCCAGTGAACACTACAATTTTGTCTGAAAATTATTTTTAAAAACCTACCTGTCAAGATTGACATATTCATGGCTTCCTTCGCTACTGGTTGTCGTTTTGGACTGAATGATACAACTCGCTTATAAAAGATTGTTATATAGTCTGAATTTTTTGTGAAAATTTTGATGCCTAGAGTAAAAAATCAAAGCGGATTTATAAACCACAAGTACAAGAATATGTTAATTTATTAAATTTAACTGGTTTCACTAACCAAAAATTGTTGGTGTGGGTGACTGGACAAATTCTGGCTAGCGTTTTGCCATCTACACGATTAGTTTCGCTGTTATCTGTCTAATAAAAATCGACAGACACATGGACGGAAAACGGAAATGGGACCTACTTTTTCATACTCTAGGAGTCATGAAACGTCGGGAAAACAGTAAAATAGCCTACTACAATACCTAGCTTATGCTCGGGAAGTAAAAACGACGAGCTGTTGGGAAAGAAGTCTAATAAGTGGTGGAACTGAAGGCAAACTGAGTATGTGGACAGTCCAAGAACTTCCTACAAAACCGTAATTTTCACTGTACCCTTATGCAAATTTCGTAAACCGCCTCAAAAACAAACAAGTGGAGTTGAGGCCAAAAATAACAAATTACTTTTGCGAGAGGTTTTAAAATTTACCACGTAGACTTAAAACGCAGTACGTACGAAGCCTACAAAAGTAATATTTTAACTTTTGAAAAACTACGCAATAAAAAGAGAACACATAAATAAATAAATTGACTATATTAAAAGACGAACTTTACGGAAAAAAAAAACAAAAACAAGAAATTTGGTGCACAATAATTAATATTAACAAGATATTAATGAGGGTTTTCATGAATTATTAAAGTAATATTAAAGAAATTCTAAGTGAAAATATCTGAATAATTTATTTTAATTAGACATCGTAAAACGAAATACCTTGAAAAAACACATCAATAAAGTGTCGCAGTTACGTAAAATATTTGAACGAGTCCACTTCTCAAGTTAGGGGAGGAAACTTCTTTTGTTTCGTTTCGTCTTTTCTTCTACAAAAACGAGTTAGTAAGTAATTTACACTAGAATTAAAAAAATAGTCAGATATACAGTATAACATCCATAATCCGAATTAATTGGCTTTCAGTCACCCTCGTTACTACGAAATCAGAAAGTAAGCCGGAGGAATTCACGAATTAGGTGCGTGCAGTGTTGCCAATTTTACTTTTATAAAATTACGTTTTTTTCGTAATCTACATCATAAAATCCGCTATTTTCCAAACACCCGGTATACATGATGTTGGTCGAGAGAATAATTATGTTTGACTCATGCAATTTTCAATACCTTTTCAGAATGCAATACTCTATTAATAACAGATTTAAATTTATTGTTATAAAATTTTAAATATAACATATCTATAGCTTTCTCTACATAACACAGCTTATCACTTCCAGAGCGTAAACAAAGGAAGTACATATTGTAATAGGGTCCATCGGGCGACTGGTTACTTTAATGTTTTCTCGACGTTTCATGACCCTCAAATACGAAAAAAGTGGTCCCCGTTTCCGTCTGTATACTAGTGGGTTATGAATTCTGTACAATTTTTATAACAATTACTTGACAAAAATTTTTTTTGGCATATTCTCCACGTGGGTTATACAGATGGAGATTTCTCAAGAACATCTAAGCTTCGTGAGGATTCTAATCCCATCCTTACAGGTTTTTTTTTGTGGTGTGACTTTTTATGATCTTTTTAAAGCTTTGTTGAAATTTTTCATCACGTACTTTTAAAAATCAATATCTTAAATATTTAAGGAAATTTCGGAACGCGGTTTTCACCACTGTTTTCCGTTGGCAAAACTAAATAGTACTATAATTATTAATTCGTTACGTCAGTAAAAAGACGAAATCTGTGATTGAAAACATTTTAGTTGCTATAAAAATGTTGGTATCGGATTTGGTTAAACTCGGAAACTTTACCCGATGGAATGAACGTGAAGATATTGCACATATTGTAACACAATGTTTGCTTAAAAAAACACTGAACCTCAACCGCTTCTCCTGTGGCATCTACATTACGTTCTCTATACCCTTTATTTTTATAACAAAACTTTAGAGATGAGGAACTAAAACCAACAACTATTCACAACTTGAACTGCTGAATTAATTCTAATAATGAAATTTAGCATCTAGTTATAACACAGCATTATGCTGTATAAACTCACAATGGTTTGGAAGAGGTTCATGTGCAATTTATTTTTTAATTCACATTTACTTATCGATTTTTAGACTATCTATGTTATTAAAGTAACAAAATGGAGGTAGTCGTAAAATTTACATGGATTATTTAATTGAAATGTGCACACATCTATGCAAATGCTCGACCTTGGTTAGAGCTGAAACAAAGTTGTGCACGCTCAAGGTACGGTCAGCTGACATTGACACATTTAAACAATCCGTCATTTTTGATCTTCACAACAAGCCACTATCGAATTAGCACAATAAGGAAAATTTTAATTGAAGACAGCTGTAAAAGTCAGGCCATGTGACGTTATTTAATCACTCGGTAATTTGATTTTAAGTATTGCAACGATAACTTTATGTACACATTATGGCAGCGCCACAGTACAGTCACCGTTATATTCGACTGTAGTTTTTGTTGCCTAGTATTTATAAAATCGTAATACACTCACTTTATCAATAAATACACAAGCCAGATGCTCCCGATCTCGTTATATTTGTTTGTTTTTCAAACGAACAAAATTTATTGTTACAACCAAAAACAACCAACACTAAAACAAACAAAATTTTGAGTAAACTTCTCCCTCGTTTTAGTCGGCAGACAGAATGAATGCATTGTGTCACCTGTGGTATGCAACGTGACATTTAAAATAATCCAGACGGCATTACTGACCTGGCTTGTTTATAACTCTACTCAGGCCACTGTGACAACTGAAATTCCATACAAAGCACAGTACATTCAAATTCAATTTTAAACATTACCTGCACTTCTACATTACTTTCGCTAATCTCGCATGTTCATCCCTCCTGACAACCTACCACAGGCTTCCTCGCTACTGAAGACATGGCCTCCCCCGGCAATTACGGCCTCAAGGACCAACAAGCCGCCCTCAGATGGGTCCGCGCCAACATCCACCTCTTCGGCGGCGACCCCGACAGAATCACAATCTTCGGAGAAAGCGCCGGAGCAGCCTCGGTCTCCTACCTACAACTCTCCCCCAGGAGCCACAACCTCTTCCATCGCGCCATCGCCCAAAGCGGTAGCGCACTATGCACCTGGGCCTTCCAAGCCAACCCTCTCAACATCGCCAAGAAAGTCGCAGCTGCCTCCGGACTCTACTTCGGTGACACCACCAGCATGATCCAACACTTCAAAAGGTTGAAAGCCACAGCGCTCAGAAAAGCCGCCATTACCGCCATACTTGCCGACACTATCAAAAAAGAGCAGAGTTTCACGTTCGCACCGGTTCTGGAACCGGAGCACGAGCAGGCTTTGATCACTCAGAGCAACTTCGAGATGTTCAAAAAGGGGGAGTTTGTGAAGGTTCCGTTCGTGGTGGGGTTCAACTCGCAGGAGTCTGGGGTTATGGAGGCGGCCGTGGAGGTGGTGAGACCTTTATTGAGTATTTTACCCGACGATATTTTGATTCCGCCGAGTTTGAATAATTGGGATAGAGGGATTGGAAAGGCTATTAAAGAAGAGTACTTTGGAGACGGCGGGAAGTCAAGAACTGAACAGTATATTGAAGTAAGTGCGGTTTTGTCATAGACCTGGACTAGCTTGGGGTTAGTTTTTCAGTGACAACGCTTTCGTGAGACCCATTATCGAAAATGCACGACTTTACTCACTGCATGCACCCACTTATATGTATAGATTTTCATATGAAGGCTACTACCTAGGGAAAAACGCAATTTTGATGGGCGAAGACCACAATATACAAGGTAAGGGTTTTTAATTTGAACAAATGACTCAATCGAGTGTCAGGGGTTTACCACGCTGAGGAACTCTGGTACATCTTTGCCCGAAAAGACCTACAACATGCCAATGCCACTGATAAACTGACACGTGAACGAATGATCCACCTTTGGACCAATTTCGCCAAATTCGGGTAACCCTGTAATCATTTTTATACCACCAATACTTATGACGATTTGTAGTAATCCCACTCCTGATGATATGTGGCCACAGTTCAAAAAAGACGACTATCCCTACCTCAACATCGGGAACAACTTGACGATCGAATATAACTTCAAGTCGAAAACGATGGAATTCTGGAGGAAGCTCTTCGCTAAATATGGACGTCCACCTTTTAATACATATTAATGTTAATTAAAATTTAAGAGAGACGAAGAAATAAATTCTGCAGTTAATTAAGATCATTCCGTAGCCTTCGCGCTAATGGAGTTCAATTTGCGCTACAGATATAATTTCGTCGGTCGATAAGAAAGTTCAGGTAATAGAGGGTAAGAAAATGAAAACGCATCGTCTTAAATTTACAGAATATTTATTAAACTGCTCGTTATCAGAGTGTATTTAACATTACGGAGGCGAATGTTTATGAAAGTCTTGATCGGGACTGACAGCTTGATGAAGTTGGGGCTATTTCTGTTACAAGCATGATTTTCCCATTAACCGCTGAAATACTTACCGTGCGCTAGGACAAAGATGAGTAAAATTGTTGTTAAAACTGTCATTTACACGATAATTAAATGACGGTTTTAACCTTGCGGAATACGAGAAGTTGTTTTTCACGAGAATGATTAATCTCTTGTTGCAAAATAGCAACCCTTGATTAAACAACGCTAATCGGAATTAAGTACCCTTCGTTCTTCTAGTAATGGATTAATGTAAATTTTTAGAGCTGTAAACACGTCATTAGTATCTGGCTAATGCGTCTTTCGTGACAAACCATGAATACTGATTGGAACGGAGATAAGTGGATACAAGCATAAAACTGAATTAATACATTTCCGCAGAAAATAATAGCTTATTGTTGAACACTTTTGTAGTTTTTTAATTAGTAAATATTTGAATTGTTGCCCTACGGCCTTGCGTGTTATATTAACAATAGACAAATTTAGCATTCAGTAACTACTAATGTACTTGGAATTTGCCGACGTGAAAATAGACTCCCTGCTAAAATCAAAATACCAGACCTGTTCTAAAAATATGTTCTCACTGCAGGACGTAATTTGGTCACTCTGCAGGTGCAATTGTGTGGCTAGTTTTAAATCGAGCGCTCGACTAATAGGATTTTGATTAAATAAACAGGTTATAAACCGGAAATGAGGCAACGCCGAAACCTGTTTTCTTCGGAATTTTGCCAAGTCCCACGTGAAATACTTGTGAGGTTTTTTCGACGTGTTAAAAGTTCCGAGTAGAACGAGAGGACGTTACAAACTGCTTAATCAAACCGACTTCTGGAATTTAATTAATTGGTTTCGGGTCGATTAATTTCAAATTGGAAGTGAGCCACCCTTATCCTGTTCTACATACAATTATTGTAAAAGCTTCTCAAGGCCCGTGGAAGTTATCCATAAACTTCGTTTATGTATTTTCCGGAAAGGAAATTGACGGCGAATTCTCTTCCACGGTTTACAGGAAAAAACTTCCTTGCGCTTTTATTAGATTTCATTTTTCAGCGAGTCAAATGAGCCTTTTATATGAGAGATTTTCTATACACAAGAACGAACATGGGACATTCTTTTATGTGTGCGTGTGTATATACGGGGTAATTTCTTACGGGCAATTTAAAATGTGGGACGTCAGATGGGAAATACAAACACGGCCATTACCTAAGGGACTTGATGGGCTGTGTGACGCTACAAATTGGACGCTCCAATTTTCTACCGGCGAAAACACTCAATTCTAACTATCAAATTTGTGTACAGTTTGCTCCAATTAACTGCGTTTTATTCACTGCTTTCATTACGGGTCGAGACACAGCTAATTAAACTTGATTCCCAAAGCATTTTGAATTTAAATGTACTTAAAACAGCAAAAGTATTCGCGCTGCAACAACAATGCAAATTATTAGGGAGTTTTTGCACAACCGGGCGTAAATATACCATCAACTTTTTGACCAATTAGGTTTAATGGAAGTTTAACAGAGTTAGCGCTCGTCGTTTTCGGCATAACCTTAACAGTCGGAGGTCCTTTTGAAGGTTAAATGGAGTCCTGCCACGTCTTCGTCCTCCACCTGTAGAGGTACATCCTTCGGTGCACCAAAATTGCAGGAATTACCACAACGTCTAGCAAAAACACTTAAATGCGGATCTTCGAGGTTATGTTCCCTTCGGTGCTCCTAAATAAAGAATTACCAAATCTTACACAGGAAGCAATACTAGAAATCCACTAATTCTTCTCGATCTTGCTATGAACCGTAAACTTCGCACGATTTACCCAAAAAGAACTGACGAAACACTTAAAGACGGCGCAAAACGTAAGCCTTCTAGGTTATGTTTCCTTCGATGCTCCCTAAATGAACAATTAGTGTGACTTGGCAAATATTAACAGACACGATACTGTAAACTTAAGCTTCCACTAATTCTTCTCCAATATTCCCATGAACCGTATAATAATAATTCGTTTAGTTCAAAGTAATAAATTCGGTATTAGTTGTCTAACTCGGTGGCAGCCAACCGTTAGTTTATTCTGGTACATTTTAATCTAATAAAATAAGTAATGCTGGAATATATTGCTCATTTTATCCGGAGATGAGATGAAAGTTCCGCCTCGCAAAATTAAATTTCGCACTTGGCAAATTACACGAAACGAGTTCAAATAAGGTTACGACGATACACTTTATTAAAAAAAAATCCTCTTGTGCCAGGTCTTAATTATCGACGAAATCTCAACACCTCAAGAAATTACATCCTCTAATCTACGTTTATTTCCAAATAAAGAAAAAACGGCAACACTACAAAAAGTTAAACATATTCGTGTGGTTAGTAGAAGTGAATAGAAACGGTTAAATACTCACAATAAGACGCTATATCACCTAATTAAAAACATCAATTAATACTTTCTAACTGAACTGCTTGTATAATGGTCGCGTTTACTGAACTCGCGCTGCGTTGACGAATAACTGGGGCCTTTACTCGACGAACTCGAATTGTAGTCGGACTGCCTCTGGTAGGACGACTGGCTAGACGAGAAGGGTGTGCTGGTGGCGGACCCTGGAGGCATCCTCCACACCTCCTGGTGGAACGAGGGCCAGATGTTCCTGGGCGCCGCAGGCGCCGACGGCTTCGCTGGAATCACCAGCGAACTACTATGTCGACTCACCTCTTCCCTGTCGGACATGTTGTAGTGATGCGAGGGACCCCGTCGCTCCTTCTCCACCGGGAACGAGTTGACCGGGGACCTCTTCGACCTGGACGACAGCTTCGGGGGCGACGGCGGCGTGCGTGTGCGCTCCTCCACGTACTTGGAGCTCTTGTCCCCACCCGAGGACTCGCGGAACCTCTTCGACGAATACGCGTAGGGAGACGTCGCCCGCGGCCTTCTCTCCACGGACCTCGACTGCTCTTCCTCCAGTTTTCGCTTCAGGTACTCGCGCAGCTTCTTCACCTCTTCCAGTTCTTTCTTGATCATGGACCGGTCGTTCTCGAGCTTGACCCGATCGGTGCGCTGGTTCTTCTCGAAGAGCTCTCGTTCGCGGTCGATCTTGCGTCTTTCTTCCCTCAGCTTGGACTCGGTTTCTTGGAGGTCTCGGCTCAAGGTGCGGTTCTTCTGTTGCTCGATGCGCAGCCGGCGCTGCTCGTCCGTCAGGTACCTCTTCAGCCTGACCACCTCGCGCTTGTGGTAGTCGATCTCGCGTCGCAGCCGGTCTTCGGTGCGCTTCGCGGCCGCCAAGGCGTCGTCTTTTTTGGCTTCGCTGGACTTCTCCGGCTTCTTGTCTTTCTCTTTGTCGTCGGATTTCTTGTCGGTTTTGCGGTCGTTCTTGACTACCTTGACGGTGGGTTTGCGCTCGGTTATGGATCGTCGTTGGTCCGGACGCTGTCTGCTGACGGTGATTTTGCGACCGTCGAGGACCGAGCCGTGCAGGTTTCGCACGCACTTGTTGGCGATGTCGGAGCTTTCCATGAGGATGTAGCCGAAGAAGGATTTGCCGTTCGTCACGATTTTGGCGGTGAGGACTTTGCCATGTTTGGAGAAATGTTTCTTGAGGTCGGTGGCTTTGACGTGACGTGTGATGTTCGACACCCATACGTCTCCTTGTTTGCGTTTGTCGGCCGGCTTCTCTTTCTCTTTTTCTTTGTCTTTGCTCTCGCTTTCTTTCTTCGGCTCTTCTTTGGGGTCTGCTTCGCTCTTCTTGTCTTTTTCGGTCAGGTCGAGGTCTTCCTCGGTGGTGATTAGTAGAGCGTCGCTCTTCGCGTCGTGTCCATTTACTTTGGCGTCGTCTTTAGTCGGGGAGACTTCCTTCTTCGGGGACTCTTCGACTTTGTCTTCTTTCTTGGCTGGTTTCTCCTCGACTTTTTCTTTCTTCGGTTCGGGCTTTTTCTCCTTTTCTTTTTCCTTCTCCTTTTCCTTTTCTTTGTCTTTGTCGGGCTTGGCGGCCTTCTTTTTGGAGTCGGCGTGGTCCCGTTGCTCGCTGCCTCCGTCGCCCTTGGTGCTGTCCACTATGGAGAAGCCGTCACCGAGGAGGAGTTCGTCGACGACGCCATCGACTGCCTTGGACTCGGCCATCGGTTAGGTTTTAAGCTAAAGTGTGTAGGTAATTCCTAATTTATTACCTGCGTGTAAAATCAGATTCGTTAGAACACAGTTAAATCGATGGCGATGTAGCAGAATATTGTGCCCCAAGTATTGATTGACTTTCGGACGGGTACAGAATTATGCTACAGTACCGCAAATACAACAGAAATGTGCGTGCTTAAATGTAAACCGAACGTTTTCAGGTTGAATTTCCAGGATTTTAGAGTTACGGGACAGCGGTTTCAGTAATCTTGGCTGTGAAAGCATTCAACAAATCCCGCTCCTAGAGACGGCAGCCCATTAAATATCATAATATTCGTTTTGTTGGTGGTTATCTGCCGACGTCAAAGCGCTGCTAGCAACACATACACACACCGCACACATTCAGATAGGTTCCTGGTGGGGGATAAGCCGGCTGGAATCATTGTAGTCCACAGATAAGAGTCTCGCTACACTTTCTCAGTTATTTTCCTTTCGTCGCTGGTGGGTGGTATGAAAGCCCCGTCGTCTCTTCACCACTAACGGCAATTTGTACGGTGATAACAAGTTTCTTGGGAGAGGGACGAAGACAAAACGAAAACTAAAAAGGAACGCAGGACGGAAAGCACACGCTAGTTCCGAACCCAGTCATATTAAATTCATCGTTGAAGTTTCGGTAGTTGTTTAGTAATTTAGTTGATTGGCATCGGAAGTTGTATACGTCGGCGGCGACGGCGTATAAATGAAACATGGCGAACGCTGCCACCGGTCTAATTATTATTCAACGGTAGAGACGCGTCGACCCTGCATATTTATGGCGCCAAGTGAAAAACGGCCGTTGCACACTAATCTCTGCATGCAAATGCCCCAGTTTAACTCAAACAAAATAAAAGACACCGCATACATTCCAGACGCTTGAATATGAATCCTCATCTCGGTATGTTAGCCTGCATCCGATCTGGATTACACGAAAAGGGACTCTCAACTGACAAGCAATACATCGGGGCCATACTAATTGCCGCTTAGCGACCTAGCGAACTGTCGGATTAAGAGCTCTGTTTGTTCGTCCTTCGGCAAACACCTCCCTTACATAACCGCCCTCCTTTTTACACATAACTTGCGGAAGCCCGGCCTGTTCCCCTCATAAGACAAACACTGCGGCACGCCCGTCTTAATTCTTTTTTGACCTCTTAATACCCGGACAATGGATCCCCAATTAGGCTTATTCAAATAGTTCGGCCTTCCGCTTCCGCCACGCTATCGATTCGGGTGGATTTACATGCGTCTGTTGAGCCTCGCCTCGGGCATGTACTTTTCTTCTTCTCGGGAGCTCTCTTCTTTCATTAATTTTTTATCGTTCCTGTTTAACAATCCAAACCGTTTCGATCGTCACCGCCGCCACGTTCGCTCGTTTCCCCCAGGAGTTGCGGAAATGTACGGCCATAAGTCACCGGGTCCACGATGGCGTGTCTGGTGCAGCCGCAGACGCTCAGCGCTCCTAATTATGCGGGTTCCCGGGGTGGTTCCTGACAGAGGAGCTCCCCCGGCGGAAAACAAAGAGCCTCGCTGGATATTTATGCGCCATTAATGTCGAAACGGGACCAAAAGTATATCTCACGCCACCTTCACTGCACTGCATCTAACTACTCATATCTACCGTCTACTGGAAGGGTGCTGAACGGAGGGATCGCATCAATGCATGTTTGCGCGGTTGTGTTTTTCTCCCTCCGAGCGAAGGGGCGCGGTGGCAATCTCCATTTCAATGGCGGTTTTTGGATAAATCAATTACTCCTACCGGTTCACAAAGGAGATGCACACAAGTGTTTGTTGTTGCCGCTAATACGCTGATTGGGCGGGTTTCACCGGAAGGCTCAAGTTTGCAGGTGATATTCAAAGATTCCTCCTATATCTATCAAATTTTTCATTCCAAGATATGTCACCAATATTACTAGGACTGTCAGTTCCACAGTGCCGGGAGGACAGATGGACCACCCGATGTTAAGCTAATGTACGAGGTAATAATAGTCCCCAGGCTTATTGCTGCTGTAAGGTCGATAATGGAAAACAAGTTTAGAACTAAGCTTCTCTCTATATCTATTGAGACAAGCGTTTTAAATACAAAAAAGAAAAAAATGCGTCATTTACGATATCAAACAGTAACCGGTAATGGAGACAGTAACAATTTGAAAAAAAATAATATCAAATTATTGTACAAAATATAAGAATTGGCAAAAACTCCAAAAGCAGATACATTTTTTTTTTCTTTGAAAAATAAGAATAACAAATTTAGAACCCCAGTTGCAAGCGCTATAAATTTTTCACAAAAATCAGTGTTGCCAACAAACACAAACTATGTCTTATTTTCGCATCTTTTAATAGCGTAAAACGAACCCTTAAGGTACCCCTTTCGTTTAAAAAATCTCAACGGCGTCTTTAACCCCGACGTAACTCAGAATACGGAATAAGGTTCTCTTCGGCTGTTCTGAATTAATGAATATTTTCCAGGTTCTGGCAAGTTTTTAAGACGGTCTTGTGAATTATGAACAAAGATCTTGTCGGATAGTTGTGTCAAGATAAAAGGTCCGATTTCCTTTTCTGCTACAGTGAGGTCTGTTGCAATTTTAAGCAAAACGTTCGACTTTTTTTTAAATTCAAACATATAAATGTTTCAAAGGTTCGGATATATATAACTTCTACAAAGTAAATATATGCTCGCAGAAAACTTATTCCGATGTAAGAAATAAATTGGCAATGCTATGACATGAGTAAATAGGGCGCCCGGTGGGCAAAGAACCGACTTCAGTCGTCGAAAAATGAAAAATATACGGTTGTAGACGACATAAGCACACGTTAATAAATCAGTCTGGCTCAATAATACGCAAATCAGCCTATTAAATTGAGTTTTGTTGTGTTTTAGCATATCTTACTATACTTATTAAAAATAAAAGATCATTTAGAAAAATAGGAAATATATAATGGCCGAGGTTTGACCCTGGCGATACTCCTAGATCGCGTCGGGTTCAATCTTTAACAGAAATATAATAAAAAAAGCACCATTGTCTTGTTTTTTCTTTCAAAAAGTGTTTTTCACCCACACCGCTTTGATTATATCTCGAAAACAAATCGCAAGAGTCTGTATTTCCGCACAAGCAGACGTCACTTAAATTAACAAAAAATCCGCTCCCACTCGCGAAAAGCCTATTTTTAAAAACGATACTCGACGACGTTGATAAATTAAAACAGGCACATTTTGAACGAAAGCAGCAGCTGTCCTAATCCAAGTGGAAAATGTTACGAATCTGTATTTTTAAAGCAACTAGTGCATAAAAAATGCGCCCGACATGTTCTCGAACTTTTCATTGTGATAGTGTTGACCCTGACAACAGGTCGACAATGGGAGCTTATTGTTTCGGCAACAAAAGCGCAATTTCGCTCCAGTACGGGTTACAAAAAAAGCTAATTACTTCTAAAGCTTCGATCGGACTGAAGCGAGTTATCAATTATTAAAACTCGATTGGTTTCAATGAAGCGAAAAATACAAAACTGGTGACGATGGCACGCATCGCCGACCCCACGGATCAATCTACATTCGAGCAGAATGAAAAACCGACCCTGCATTTACATATCGAGCAAAATAAAACCGCACCGAGCAGACGGTAGAGTTATGTTCCTTTCCCTCGGACCGCGAGATTAATTTCGGTTCTTTATCCTACTACTGACACCTTCCGAGTTTTATTTTTTACCCGTGCTACGGAGGCCTTGAACTGGCGTAGCGCAACCAGGTGAGGAAACATGAAAAGCACATTAAAGAATGCCCCTATGTGACACAACTGCGAAAAATTAGGGTCAAAATATAAATAAAGTATCATGGTGATTATTCACAGCAATAACACTTATTCACTAATTGTAAATAATAAGTAACGATATAACAGAGAACGCGACTTTTGTGACTCAAGTTGCGCCATACAATTGTAGGTCTTGATGTCACAGGCGGCTTTGATCACATTATTTTTATTTTACTAAAATTCCACGAACAGATCAAGGAATTAACATAAAATTGATATTTGTATCAGCAGTAATAGATAACCTATTTATCACTAATAAATTGTATGACCTTCGTACTGAGAAAAATTCTTCAACGGCTGCCATTCTCTCGAACGTTCTCTTATATTTTTTACCAAAAATTGGAAGAGTTATACAAAGTGCGTAAAATATGTTAACAAAGAACCCTTCAGCTCCAACGTTTAAAAACATGTAAAATTAGTTATAAAACAAGTTTGTTGTTTCTCTGCTGAATACTTCAGACAAAACATTTTGTTCGGGACGCAGATCGATAACGTTAAAAGTAACAATAAGAAATTCAAATACATAAACTTCTGTTTGGTGTTCTGACAGCGCTTCTGTTTCAACGCTTTTTGGTACTGATGTTTACCGAATTTAACGTGTTGTATAACCAAATTTAAATGGACTTTATCAGATTTTCTAAAAGAAAGACGAATTTTACGATTTTTCGGTCAGATAATGGATTATCCATATAAAAATATAAAGTTCTGCAAACGCCTTTAATTTTAGCTTCAAGAGTTTTACTTTTCATTCTTAAAAAGCATAAAACGTCAAGGTGAGAAACAACCTGTAAATTTTACAAAGTTTAGAAATAACAAATAAAGTTGCACCAAAACACACAATTTAATTAGCGTATAAATTAACATTTAAGCTAAAAGTAAAATTGAAATTGTTATCAAACATATTTACCAAAGGACTATAAAAGCAAACGTGTTGTTTCTAACTAATTTCTGATTTCGTCTGCCGGCAAAATTTAATTTTGTTGTTTTCAATAATATTCAAACAACTTCTATGTAATGTTTACACTGAAAATGTTTTTACTTTTTTTTTACTTCTGAAAGTTTTTTTTTTAGCTTTAAGGGAGACTGGTTTTCCATTGTCAAAAAATTAAATTTAAAATGTCTGGGTAATAAAAAATGTACTTTAAACGAAACATCCACCAATTAAAATATTTACCGAAATCCGTGTTTCAATTTTCTCTATTAACAAAAGTACA